CAATTTTTACTATATTTTATTAATAAAATTATATGTATAAGTTTATAATTTTATTATTTACTATATTATTTATTTATAAATTATTTATTTATTTAAGTTATTATTTTAAATATCTTAATATATTGAAAGATTTTGAAGATATAATTATATTATATTTATATAAAAATATAAAATTAATTAAATAATAACAAAGTTCTTTGTATTATCTTTACAAAAAATCTTTAATATTTAAAAATAAAAAATTAATTTTTTTATAAAAAAATTAACAAAAAAGAAAAATAATATAAAAAAATAATAAATAATATATCTCTATATTTTTTTAAAATTTTCTTTTTAAATAATATTTTTATTAATAATATTATTATAGTCAAATCTCTCTATAGTTAACACTTTTAAAAAAGTAAAATTTAGTAACTATAGAAGGAATACGACTATAGAGAGATTTTTTTTATTATGTTTATATATAAATAAAAAAGCAAAATAAAATGACTATAGAGAGGTATGACTATAAATAGATATAATTATAAAGAAATTTGACTATATAATAATAATATAAAATTTATTGATTAATAAATAATACAAAAATAGTCGAAAATAGAAACAATCAAAAAATTAAGCAAAAATAATTTATTATTTTATTTTTTTTATTTTTTTTTACTTTTTATTTATTTTTTTTATTTTTTTTACTTTTTATTTTATTTTTTTTATCTTTTATTTTATTTTTTTTATCTTTTATTTTATTTTTTTTCATTGTTTATATTATTTTTTCATTTTATTTTTTTTTATTTTTTTTTTAATTTTTTTTTTTTTTTTTTTTTTTTTTTTTTTTTTTATTTTTTTTTTTTTTTTTACTTTTTTTTTTTTTTTTTTTATCTTTTATTTTTTTTTTTTTATCTTTTTTTTTTTTTTTTTTCTTTGTTTTTATTTTTTTTTCATTTTATTTTATTTTATTTTTTTTTTCACTTTTTATTTTATTTTTTCATTTTTTTATTTTATCTTTTTCATCTTATTCATTTTATTTTTGTACTTTTCACTTATTTTTAAATAGTTATTTTATTTTTTAAATAGTTATCATATTTGAAATTATATTTTTAAAAAATATATAATAGAAATATTGTTTGCACTTTAATTTAATATATTACAATAAAATTCTCTCTTAACAAAAATCTTTTTTTAAATAATATTTATTTCTTTCATTTTTAATTATATATATTAAATTATATTGTACTAAACAAAATATTATTATTAAATTTATGAACTTTGTATCATATTATATTAAATAAAATATTATTGAATTTATTAACTTTGATTAAATATTTTAATTTGAATTTTTGTTATTTTGATTTTATTATTTTTGATATTTCTTATTCATAAGAAAAACAAAATAAAAGAATCTTTGTTATTTTGCTATTACTAATTGTATTGTCTCAGCTAAAGATGATACAGTAACTGTTGTAATATGATAACAAATAAAACATCATCTAGTTGCAACTAGTTGTGACTTATAAAATTTTGAAGTTGCAACATGTTGCAATAGGTAACAAATAAGTATCATGTACTTGCTGCATCATCTCTAGTTTTAGCTTTGAAAAACTTTATACAAATACAAAGAATTAGCATTTTATTATTTATTTTCTTATTATTTTATAATTTCTTCTCTTTTAATCTTTATTTTCCTATAACTTTTTATATTTTTATTATATCTTTGAATTATTTAATTTCTGTAGAAATTGATATAGAATTTATATATATCTCTTTTATTTAGTATTTAATTTATTTGTTTAATTTTCTCTTCCAATTCAGGTTCAAGTTTGTAAGCTAATTTAACAATATGAATTTTTAAATAAATACAAAAGTATCAGCTAATAACAAGAAAATTGTTATAAAACAATTTAAGATTTCTTTTGTTTTATATTTTTTTATTATTTAAATTTTATGATATAAAATTTTAACATTGAGAATTAGGATTTCTAATGAGCTAACTTTTGAGTCACTCTAGTCTAAATTTTATATATAATTTAATAATATGAATTTAAATTCTATTAATTAAATTATATGTATATAAGTCAATAAGCCAAGCTTTTCAGAACTTTAGTAAAAATCCTATTCTAAGTAGTAATATTATCCTGTAGTAATAGTATCTTGTAATAGCAGGATCATAATAAACAGGATTCGTGATTATATTGGGAGACCGAAAGATTCCCACTTATATGTATCTTGTTGTGGGAGACCACTATTATGTATCCTGTTGTCCGACTATTAATGTATCGATTATTATTCTAGTAATGTTTTTGTCGCTCAAAAAGGGCGTGGACCTCAGACTTAATATTGGAAAAGAACACGAAAGGTATATCTAAATGTGATGCGAGATAATAAAAAATATGATCACTTTTCTAAGCATGTATAATCCATTTCGATGAGTTGTTTAATTTCTACGCGATTAACACATTGTGGAATAGAATCACAATGGTAATTCTTGTCGACATCACGTGGCCATGCTCCCAGTCCAGTCAAGGAATTTCGCCGCGAGCTGGCAACGCGTTGTAGGGTGGTGATGATTGATGAATTTCGGACATCCTTGATTTGTTCCTGATGAATGGTTGTTTGATCACTGGGATCGGGACGTTAATGCCGCTCGCAACATCAGGAACATTTTTTGACATAATGTTATAATGGTCAAAGACATGAGGAGAACTTACTAGGTCACTCGGCTATTGAGATGATTATCTAACTTGGTGCAGCAGCGATAATGATGTCCATAAAGCCAGGAACTTTAATAATGCATAGGAGAAATTTATTATGACTAGATTTTTCGATATATTGATATGCAAATATGTATAGATCTTTTCAGATATTGTTTGTTCAACAAACAAAAAAACTAGCAAAAATTTCGAGAGCCACCGTTATCACTTTTAACTTGTAAATAGATATATGTATATTGGGGTTTTCATAAGAAAATAATTTTTAAAATGCAAATGCTAACAAAGGTAAAAGCTCTTTATTATTTTATTTGTTTGTCTTATTATGCTTGGAAAACTCTGTGATTCAACTTTTATTGGAATTTTACTTTTAAAGTTTGAATCAAAAAGTAACCGTGTTAAAGGGATAGCATTCCACCCGAAAAGACCATGGATACTTGCCTCATTACATAACGGCTGTATACAATTATGGGACTATCGTATGGGCACTCTTTTAGAACGTTTCGACGAACACGACGGTAATAGCGAGTCTTTGAATTATTATTCTATAGGATTTGACTCAACATGTTGATCAAGTTCAAAATTCATCGCAATTCGCATCAAGTTCTTAATTTATCACATAAGAGAAACATTCTCATAATTGATCGATTTCAATTTTCGATACTTCCATTATTAATCTACACAGGCCCAGTTCGTGGAATTGCCTTTCATCCAACGCAACCACTTTTTGTATCTGGTGGCGACGATTACAAAATCAAAGTCTGGAATTACAAAACACGCAAATGCTTGTTCACGCTGAACGGACATTTGGACTATGTGCGCACGGTTTTCTTTCATCACGAATACCCGTGGATTTTGAGTGCTTCCGATGATCAGACAATTCGTATTTGGAATTGGCAGTCGCGGAATTACATAGCCACATTGACTGGGCATAATCATTATGTTATGTGTGCACAGTTTCATCCGAAAGAGGATTTAGTTGTTTCTGCGTCGTTAGATCAGACTGTTCGAATTTGGGATATTTCAGGTGTGGGATAGATTGTAGTAGTGACAAGAATAAATAAATAATTATTTCGTCAAATTAAAATTCGTGAAAATCAATTAAATGTAATATAATATTTAGGTCTTAGAAAGAAAAATGCTGCGCCTAGCTCAATGACATTTGAAGATACTTTACATAGATCGCAGACAGCTCAAACTGATATATTTGCAAATTCGGATGCAATCGTCAAATACGTTTTGGAGGGACACGATCGAGGTGTTAATTGGGCTACATTTCATCCTACACTTCCACTGATCGTCTCAGCAGGAGACGATCGTCAGATAAAGATATGGCGATACAGCGGTAGTGCATTAAAATTGTTTAGGATCGCACAAGAATTTAGATTCATTCATTCAGCTTTATTAACTCTTAGCTTAATTTATATATCTAGATAACAAAGCTTGGGAAATTGATACATGTCGTGGACACTTCAACAATGTGTCGGCTGCACTTTTTCATCCAAGACAAGAACTAATAATCTCAGATGCAGAAGATAAGACTATTCGCGTTTGGGATATGACAAAAAGAACACTCGTTCAGACTTTTCGACGAGAACTTGATAGGTTTTGGGTTTTGACTGCACATCCGGAATTGAATCTATTTGCTGCTGGTAAATTCATTCAAGGTTAACTATTTTTGAGATATGAAATTTTTGAAATAGACTAATTTATTTATTTTATTTATTGTCTATAGGTCATGATAATGGGCTTATTGTATTTAAATTAGAGAGAGAACGACCGGCTTATGCTGTGCATCAAACCAGTTTATTTTATATTAAAGACAAAATATTGCGTGTTTACGAGTTTACCGACGCAACAGATATGCCTGTTGTGTCGGTACGCAAAATAGGTGGTCAATATGTTAATCCGCGTTCATTATCATATAATCCTGCTGAACGGGCAATAATTCTCACTACTGTTAGTAATTTTATTCTGTAATTTTTTTTAACCTTTATTCCTCAATCCTAAAATATGATTCACGCTTGCTGAATAATATTATTTAGCCTACAGATGGTGGCACTTATGACTTGTTTCATCTCCCAAAAGACATCACCGGTGAACCACGAGAAGCATCTGGTGATGGTAAACGTGGATCCGGTACATCTGCAATTTTCACCGCTAGAAATAGATTTGCAGTTCTCGATAAGACGCGACAGGTATCTTAAATATTAAAAAATCTAAGATAATATTAATTTAATTAACATTTTATCATTCGTTAATATCACAAAAGCAAATTGAAATTCGTGACTTGACAAATATAGTCACAAAAGCAATCAAGCCCCCAGCAACAGTCAACGAAATATTCAACGCAGGCAGCAGCAATCTATTATTACTGAGCACTTCCACATCCGTCATATTATACGACATTCAACAACGACAAACAGTCGGCGAAATCAATACACCACCTGTTAAATACGTCATTTGGTCAGCGGATCATAGTCAAGTGGCACTGTTAAGCAAACATAGTAAGTAATTGAATTCTCTTGTGATCCCCGCGCCATTCTTTAATTTTCTATTTTTATCCTATCGATCACACAACTACGATAAGCCATAACTATTGCCAATAAGACGCTGGAACAAAGTTGTCTTATTCATGAGACAATCCGGATTAAAAGTGGTGCATGGGATGATGCTGGAATCTTTATATACTCTACCCTTAATCACATCAAATATGCTCTCTCGCAAGGGTACTAACTATATTTCTTGTTTTTTTACATACAGTCAAACCTCGTTATACTGACAAAAATTTTTTTTGAATTTCTTATAATGTCATAATATAAAACATAAATTTCGTTATTATGGCAATAAGAACAAAAATTATTTAAGGAACCGGAGGATGTCACAATAACGAGGGTTGACTGTATATTGAATTCCAGTATTTTGTCTTTTTTTGGATTAAATTAATTTAATATTTAATATATATCATAGAGACAATGGGATAATACGAACTCTCGATCAACCCGTTTATTTGACAAAGGTCAAGGGCAAAAGCGTTCATTGTCTCGATCGAGACGGTAAAACGCGTGCGATTAGTATAGATCCGACAGAATATCGATTCAAATTGGCGCTAATTAAGCGAAATTACGATGAGGTTTTGCAAATTATTCGTTCTTCGAATTTGGTTGGGCAAGCTATAATTGCCTATTTGCAGAAAAAAGGATATCCTGAGGTATGTAAATGCATCGATCGGCTAATATTTATTATATTGGTTATTTAATAGAGTATTTATTTTATTTGCTATTGTTCTATTTGAAAATATCAGGTTGCTCTTCATTTTGTACGAGACGACAAAACTCGATTTGACCTTGCTTTAGAATGTGGGAATATCGAGGTAGCATTGGAAACAGCCAAAAAAATGGACCGTGACGATTGTTGGAACAAACTCGGTGTCGAAGCACTTCGTCAAGGGAATCATCAGGTGGTTGAAATGGCTTATCAAAGAGTAAAGAATTACGATCGCCTGTCGTTCCTTTATTTGTGCACTGGTAACGTGGAAAAATTAAGAAAGATGCTGAAAATTGCCGAACTTCGGAACGATAATATGTCCAGATTCCATAATTCGCTATTCCTTGGAGATGTTGAAGAGCGTGTCCGATTACTTAAAGAAGTTGGCCAATGTATTCAAGAATAATTTATTATTCATTTTCGTCTATATCTATCATCTAATGAATAAAAAATTCACTTTATTTATCCAATCAAAATTTCCATATATCTTTATTAGTACCCTTGGCTTATCTTACTGCTCAAAGCCATGGACTGATAGAAGAGGCTGAATCGATTTTGGCCGCATCTGGTTTGACTCCTGAGGATATCACTGATTTACCTACAAATGGACAATTATTAAAGCCACCAACACCTATTATCAGGCAACAAGATTCCAATTGGCCATTATTGACAGTTTCACGTTCTTTCTTCGATAGTGCATTTGCAAATCCGGAAAGCAACCCGTTAGCAGCACCACTTGCATTTTCTGATGCCGCAGAAGGAATCGGTGAAATTGGTGATTGGGGAGAAGATGATATGGGATTTGGCGAGGAAGGCGAAAAGACAAACGATCAACAAAGATTAAGTGGTGAGGCTCTTGAAGAAGGCTCCGGATGGGATATTGATGCTGACCTTGGCACGCAACTTGATCCACGAATCACCGAAGAACTTGCAAATGGGTCACAAGAATTCGTTCCCCCACCTTCCGGAACTAACGAATCTGAACTCTGGATACATAATTCGCCATTAGCAGCCGACCATATCGCAGCCGGATCTTTCGAAACTGCCATGCAGGTTTGTGTGTGTTACCTACTTTAAAAAGAAATACTTTATAAAAAAATCGATGACTCTTTTTTTTGACTTATTTATATACTATTATGTGACCTTTTATTTTGCATTCACCGTCATCACATCAAGCTTCTCAATCGACAAATTGGAGCGGTTAATTTTGCACCTTTGAAATCACATTTCTTGAAAACTTTCCAAGCTACGCGCACTTATCTTCCTACCAACGTCTCGCTTCCTTCATTAGTATATCATGTTCGTCGAAATCCTGAGGAAACAGAAACACGTAGAGTTCTCCCGATTTTGGCTAACAATTTTGAGAACATTCGTTCTACGCAACTCCCCGAAGCATATAAAACCACGACACTTGGCAAATTTCAAGATGCTATTGTACAGTTTCGGACTATAATTCATTCTCTTTTGTTGGTTGCTGTTTCAAAAAAACCAGAAGTGGATAAGGTATGTGTACGAGCGTATTGACTGACAAATCAGTAAATTAAGAAACGTTTGTATTTAATACAAATCAATTAATAATTTTAATTATTTAGGTTAATCAATTAATTGAAATATGTCGTGAATATATTTTGGGATCATCAATGGAACAAGCTCGTCGAAAACTGACGTTAGATAACCCGGAAAATATCAAACGTTCTCTTGAATTGGCCGCATATTTCACTCATTGTCGATTAGACCCAGCTCATTTGCAGCTTAGTCTTCGATCCGCAATGGGACTCAATAATCGCGTAAAGAATTGTCTGAGTGCTTCTACTTTTGCCAGGCGATTATTAGAATTAGCACCACCAACTCAAGTGGCTACACAAGTATGAGTGCATCAACAATAAATATCATTTACGTATTTAATGTATTTTACTAATTTTTAATATCATATCACATAACAATAGGCCCGTCAAATACAATCTGTATGCGACAGGACACCACGCGACGAGATAGCATTCGAGTACGACCAATACAATCCGTTTGTTATGTGTGGTATTTCATATAAACCAATATATAAGGGAAGTCCATCGGTTGAGTGTCCGTATTGTCGCGCATCGTATCTTCCTGAACATCAGGGCAGCCTTTGTACTGTCTGTGAGATATCACAGATTGGCGCGAATGCAACAGGACTAAAAGTTTTTGTGCAGTGATAGTAAATAATTGATCATAAAAGTGAAAAATGGATAGAGATAAAAAAGTATATTTTCTATAGATTTCTATGTATCTTAATGTTTTTTTTTACTTAATATAAAATATTTATGCTGAAATTATAGTACTCTAGCCATGGCGAAAAAAATGTACGTGCATGTGATCTGAAATAGGTTCATTAAAATATCCGATTAATATTAGTTATCAAGTATTAGGGTTAGGGTTAGAGCTGAGGTCAAGATTGTATATAAATTGTCTTCCCGACATTTTTTGATAGTGCGCCAAGCTAGATTTAGACATCTTTCTTTGTCTTATCATTTTCTTGTGTCGGATTTGTTTTGTCGGGTTGAGCAAAAATTTGAAAAATTCCTATTGGTTGCGCAGAGAAAAATGTAAAAAATACGGGAAATAGATGCCTAAATCTAGCTTGATACACTAATCAAAAAATTTCAGGAAGGCAGTTTTATATATAACCTTGATCCAAGACCTAACCCTAACCTTTAAATTAATCTTTAACAATACCATAATTTGTCGCATAAACCACCCCTCCCCCATAGAAAATTTAAAGCTTAATGTTTTTAATAAAACCAATTATTTTTCACAAAATAAAGAAATCAAAGATTCACAGTGCAATTTCTTAAAGTTTTAATTACTAAATTAATAGCCTTGTCGTGAAATTAAGGTTTAAATTTTCTGGTTTATGCGGCAAATTACGGTAAATATCACATGACCCGTACAGATCAAGATAGTGTATATAAATGTAATCCTTTGATTAGATCATAATTTATTATCTAGTTTTCTTAAAAAATGAGCACTTTTGGCACGCTATTTCGTGTTACAACCTACGGAGAATCACATTGTAGGTCAGTAGGTTGTATTGTGGACGGAGTTCCGCCGGGCTTACCACTTGCCGAAGAAGACATACAAACACAATTAAGTAGGCGACGGCCCGGACAAAGTAACCTGACGTCACCGGTAAGTTGGTTGAACAGAAAACCTCACTAAGTGCACCCCCTCGGGATCATAGTAAAAAACAGGCAGAGTGTGCACTTAGAGAGGGTGTGCATTATAGAGAGTAAAATATAGATGTGTCTTAGAACTTGGAACCAAATCATATCGTGCATTTATAGAGGATGCACTTTGAGAGGTTTTACTGTATATACTTTAGTTTCATTCAACTTTTCGATTATTAAGTGAAATTGTTTTTATCTTTTGGTTTCGTTTGCTTAACCTTTTAGCTTCACGCCTTATTATTAATACGCATTTCTAGCGAAACGAAAAAGACCAAGTGACAATACAGTCTGGGACTGAGTTCGGAGTAACGCTTGGTACACCAATCGGCTTACAAGTTCTTAACCAAGACCAACGACCACACGATTACTCTGAAACTGACTTGTATCCTCGTCCTAGCCACGCCGATTGGACTTACTTGAAGAAATACGGTGTGAAGGCTAGCAGTGGTGGTGGTAGAGCTTCTGCTCGGGAAACAATAGGTATATCTTTAAAAAGGTTTTTCGGTTTTTATGAGTCGTATATATACATATAAATCAAAGGCTTCCAAAACTAAATCATTTGATTGTAATAAAAAAGGTCGAGTCGCAGCCGGAGCGATCGCTGAAAAATATCTGAAACTCGCGCATGGCGTAGAAATCGTAGCGTTTGTTAGCTCGGTATCAAAGATTGCGATGCCGTTTATCGAGTTTGAAGATGAAAAGGTTTTTCCGGACGATTTTTGGAATTTTTTAAATGCCGTTACTCGTGAACAAGTAGATAAAGATATTGTAAGATGTCCGAATAAAGATGTTTCTGAAAGAATGCGAAAGGTATTTATTTCTTTTATCTAAATATTTAATTTTGATAACCATTTATCAATCTAATATGTCATATTTTACCTATATCTATAAAAAAGCGGATTCTCGAAGCAAAAAATAAAAACGATTCAATAGGCGGCACAGTTACTTGTGTAATTCGTAATGTTCCAGTTGGACTTGGGGAACCATGTTTTGACAAACTAGAGGCAAACCTGGCATACGCAATGTTATCATTGCCAGCGACGAAAGGATTCGAGATTGGGAGTGGATTCAAAGGCACCACATTAGAAGGACACCAACACAATGACCCATGGATCAAAAAATCCGATGGCAGTTTAGGCACTATCACAAATAATTCGGGGGGTATACAAGGTGGAATTTCCAATGGAGAAAATGTTTATTTTCGTGTTGCGTTTAAGCCTCCTGCGACTATTTCGCAGCCTCAAAAAACTGCTACATATGATGGTGTGGATGGGGTATTGGCTGCTCGTGGACGCCATGATCCGTGTGTCTTGCCTAGAGCTGTGCCGATTGTTGAGGCTATGGCAGCCTTGGTTATTATGGAGTGAGTAATATATATGATTTTAGAATTTTGTATTTTTCTAATATTTCGATTTTTTATTTTTTAGTGCCGTATTGATTCAAAAAGCTCGTGCAAGTGCATCTGCCTTACTCCCACCAATAACAACTCTTCCATCAACAATGATTGGTGTAATTCAACCAATTAGTATTACTAAAAAGAGTCAAGAAGATACTAACAATGTAACAAAATAAAAACAACTTGAGTAAAAAACTCGATTGTTTATTGATTTTTGAAAAATTATGACAATTCCATTTATGAAAATAAAATATAATATTAGGGGTGTGCCATTTATTCCCTGATTTTTATCATGGATACCCAGAGTCAGTTAGTTATCACGTTTTATGTGATTGGTTAGTTGTTACAACTAGCCACAATCACATCATGGATACATGGGACCATACTAATAAATGGCATATTCCTTACTATACATTACAATTCCTTCTAAAATGTTTTTATTTTAGAAATAATGTTCTTGTTGCATTCCGTAACATGATTTTTTGTTATGAATCACATGATATTATCTCGACTCACGTGATAATACAATTTCCTAGATGAATTATCATAAAATGCAAGTTCTTGTAAATTGATATATTAATTGTGTTGTTTTGTTGGTAAGTAATAACTTTTTGATAATAATTATAATGTTATTTATTACAAATTTTAAATTTTTATTATTGTTTTTAGAGTTTAAGATATTTGTGTATTATTTATATATTGTTACAAGTTTATTCACTAATTGTTAAATTAGCTTGCAAACTTGAGACTGGATTGGAAGAGAGTGATAGACTGATAAAAATATTAAGATAAAAAGAAAGAGTATCTAAGACTTATACCAATTTTTATGGAAATTGTATTTACTTAAAAAGAAATAATAATATGGAAGAGTTGTAGGAGAGTAAAGATCAAAAGTGAGAGAAAGAATAAAAAATAATAAAGAAAATTCAAAAGGGTGATTCTATATTTACGTAAAGCTTTCTAGAACTAAGATAATATAATTAGTAATAACAATAACAAAGACTCTTTCACTTTGTTCTTCTCACAAGTGAGGAATATTTATTAATAATTAAAAATTCAAATAACAAAAGTAAAATACTTATAATTCAATTTTAATAATTTTCAATACAGTGATTTGTTCAGCACAATATGATATAAAGCTTAATAATTCAATAATAGTGATTTGTTCAGCACAATATGATCTAAAGCCCAAAGTCAATAATAGTAATTTGCTCAACGCAATATGATATAAAGTCATCAGTGATTTGATAGGTTTAATATAATATAAGATTACTTATATACAAGGTTTGAAGTGTATAAAGAAAATATGAGAGATAAGAAGTATTTGAAAGAAGATTTTTGTTAAGAAAGATTTTTATTTTCAGTTACAACATGTCAAGTTAAAGTTCAAACAGCATCTTTATTTATACATTTTTTGAAATTACAAAAAGTAAAATAAATAATTATAAAAATATATATAATTAATTATAAAGATGAAATAACTTATAAAAGTGAAAAGTAAAATATTGAAAAAGTGAAATAATAAAAGTAAAAAATAAAAAGTGAAATAATATATATAAAAGTGAAAGATAAAAGTAAAATATTATAAAAGTGAAATAATAAAAGTAAAAAGTAAAATAATAAAAAGTGAAATAATATATATAAAAGTGAAAAATAAAAGTAAAATATCATAAAAGTAAAAAGTAAAAAAATAAAATAATAAAAAGTGAAATAATATATTGTTATCATTTGATATTTTAGATCATATGTAAAATATCATGTGATATATTTTAATAATCATTAATATTTCCTTTTATAATTTTTCTATTTATAATTCTATTTTTAATTATTTAATTTATCTAATTTATACATAATTTATCAAAAATACCAATCAATTCTTTTT